CAGCCAAGGCATGCTCTTTTCTAGGCTCTTTAATGCTAATGCCAGTCTATTCTATATTAGTGCCTGTCTATCTAGGGCTAATACCGGTCTCTGCTAATTGACAGCAAAAGGCAATCAAGAGGATGACCGGCCCATTCATGCTATTTACCAGCATCCCAAAACCTAATACAAAAGAGTACTCTCCACCAGCTTAGGCTTCCCATTTGCCAGTCTGGGCCGCTCAGTAGCTGGTGTGTGCCAACCATTACTTAGATCAGTAGCTGTCTGTACAATGGATATAGTCTCATGTGCCAAGGAAGTTGGTAATGGTTGGCACACTAGTCTTAATTTTGGTGTTCTTACTGCACCATATTCTGGAAGTTCTAGGGCACAGTTTTCTGTGTGCATAAATATACTTTTTATCCTCCAATAGTCTGGCACCTGACTTATTCTGTTTGGCTTGTGAAATTAAGAAGGTTGTATGAACTGAGTCGTACATCCTTGGAAGCTGCACCTGCACTGCACCATGCTAATGAGCGTGTACGAACTGATTTTAATTACTTTGCTGTGGTGGCTGCAGAACAACCACTCTGTAGTCAGTGTAAGCCCTGCAAAAACCTGCTGACTTTCCGTCTATGACGATAAATCACTGGACTGTTCAATTATCCAAAGGTCTCTAGTTTTTTTTTCTTTTTGTCACAGAATCAATTCATAACTCAGAATATTTGAACAACAGATTTTTTAAAATATTTACACTTTAAGTTACACGTAAATGAGAAAAATATCAGGACTATATACCAAGGAAAAGAGCGGATTACCGCTCTGGAATCCAAAGTTCTCTTTCCAGAAAAAGTTAATTTCGCATTGTATATTAAAATCATTATTTCAGACTAGTAAAGAAGTAAGTACTTGTGGAGAAAATATAGTCCAATAAGCTTCAAAGTCTGTGTGAAATTTTCAGTTCCTAATGATTTGTGGAATATGATATCTACCTGTGTTGGTCCAATGTATTTAATCGGGTCGATGAGAGGAGCCGTTTAGCATGTAATATTAAAATAAATAATTAATGCATCCCTCTCCTGGTACACTTTATGAAGATGCTGATTTCATCACACAGCATTGCAACTCAACACCTTAGCAGTGTCATACAATGATCACCTACTAGGTTTACAGGCCATAGTTTCTGATAAACTTAGAAGTGTGTAATAAATCTTTTTAAGTTTTACTTTTGTAATGAAATTTGCATGAATATTAATTTAATTTAGATGCATATGTGCTTTTATCTAAAACACACAGTTATGAAAAAAAAAATGAGTAGCCGTCTTTGTGTTCCTCAGCGTTTTTGTTCTAAATGTGTATTACTCGAGGAATACAGGGAGCAATAAAAAAAAAAAAGAAGGTCCTTGTTTTTCCTTGACTGTTTGAACATATCTTTCATGATTAAGTCACTAATATGGCCAATTATGCTCTTTAGAGGATATAAATTGCACAAAAAAAGAGTAACTGTGTATCACAAAGTAAACCAGGAGCTTTTTGAGCCAACAGTTGCCCATCTGGTATTAAAACCTGATGGTGGGAATAGCAAAAATAAGTAAATTAGCTGTCTTTCTACTCTAAAATGACATAAAGAAAAAGGTCTAGCAGGAACTCTCAAAAACTAGAGGGGGACGTCAGAGACAGAGCAATATGTAATGATTTTTTTGGTAAGCATTAGAGATCCATTTTATTACTTACCAAAATTATATTAAACTGTGTTTAACATTAAATGTGAAACTTTCAGAAAAAAAATCTAACTTTAAAGTGCGTTTAAAAGTAAAATTACTATAAGTGGAAGGAAAAAATACAAGCTTGGAAAAGACCAGGTGTGCAACGAATGTCATTAAGATGGTGAAAAAACAGTTTTCATCATTAGACAAAGATAGTATGCATAAATCCCCTAAACGAAACTAGCATGGGGACAGGAGCAGAATGTTATCATATGTTAAGGGACCAATTACATGTTGTATAAAAAAAAGATAAAATTATGAAAAAAATTCTGATTTCTTACTTGACAACAGATTTTTAATAAAAGACGAAGAAAAGAAGTAAAATCTTTTCAAGATGTAGCTAGGCCATAACTACTGCAAAAAGTAGGAATGTAACCCTGGCAACTAAGTATGAGAAAGAAAGGCGATTTGCCTTTCTTGGCACTAGCATATAATTTCAACACATTAAAGCCTCCGCCTGCAAAGCAGGTTTGAAATACATTGACAGTTTATTATTTCTGAGTGACCTGGTTGAAGAAAACACATCCTATGACTTTGTTAGAATGTACAGGTAACAAAACCTTTTCAGTTAAATGACTTTTACAGAGGTCAGGGAATGGCCATTAGGGCTTGGAAAATGTAAGAAGGAAAGTGTTAACTTATTTATACAATAACTACACTAAAAAACCAAGAGACAAGAGATGTACAGAGGTGGACTTTAAAATGCTTAATTTAAGAGTTACCAAAAATGGCTGCGAGTTGTAGATATATAAATATTTTCTGAAGTTTTACAGATTTTGTTTATTTAAATTTCTGATTACCATTCAAATACATATTGATATTGTTCTATTGATGGTCTTTTTCTACATTTTAGAAATGGAAATATTGTGTCGTCTAAAGGAATACAGCTTGTTGCGTTTTATTTCAGGGGATATGTCAGATATCATTTGTTGCATGCCATAAAAAATAAAATCTGCAAAATTACAAAAAGAAACATTTTATATACTCTAAAGGCTTTTGGGCTGCTATTCACCAATTTGATGATCAACTTAAAGCCCTGTGGTTTTAAAATCAAAATGTTTTATTTTAGATTAAGCCTTTTTACACCTTTTAGCAATCAAAAAGGAGCTCCAGAAAAGCCTTCACAAAGTTGATATTTTATTAAATTTACTGGATGTGTGGTAAAAATATATATTTAGAGGTCAAGATAATAATTTGCAGTGAGGTTGGTGTAGATGAATCTCACCATCGAAACTCCAGCAAACTATCTTTTATGCATATAAAAAAAAAAAAAAAAATCATTGCTAATGTTTCCTGCTGAGTTTTGAGTGCCAAAGACATGAAAATATATGAATACCACTCTTTCTTATTCTATTAATATATCTTTATATATTTGTAAATATTATATATATTTATTTTTAGTAGGGAATAAAGGTGCAGGGCTCTCTACTTACTACTGTACCTATGACATCTGCACAAAAGTCCATGTAAAATAAATAAACTATCACACACGGGAATTTAAGGACAAACATCAAATGACATTTGTTTTATAATTAAACTTTATAATTAGTACAGCCTTGAAAGTAATGCAGTGTTTATTAAAACTAAATTGTAAAACAAATTAATAAATAAATAGTGAATAACTTAGGCGCACTAGGGTAAAAAAAACCTTCACACTTTACGGCAACGTTTGATTTATTGTAAGCCCTGAGAAAAGAATGTATTACGCTGATGGATAACTGACCCATCTAGTTTCCCAATAAAAAAAGAGCAAAAACAAAATCTAATCAGAAACAAAATAGCCAAGACTGTCAATATTTCTCTGCCTGCATACTATACTTGACTGTGGCAAAGACATTTTAAATAGAAAAGTCCCCTAGGGGAACTCAGCTAGTCCCATAAGGAAAATTTGTCATGGAACCAAGTGCACGGTGCATAGTACTAGCTGCCATTAGAAACAATAAGTACAGATAGGAACAAATACCAGCTAAAAATGCACACATAGGCTACATACAGACTCATAAGAATAAAAACAATAATAATATTAACATACAATACTAAAAAAACAAGCAGAACAAAAAGTTATTGCACACTTTCCATTTCTCCCTAACAGACCTATCTTCATTTAAAATTTGATGGATGTGGGTATAAAGGAGTATTTAAAGCGGTTCAGTTAAAAGAAAGTTAGAAGAATCAGAATAAGGAGATGCATCATATTAGTCAAAAAAAAAAAAAAACAGAGAGCCAATGTGACTTAATGATTTGTTTGCAGACAGTCCTCCAACAATAAGTGACCTTTCTGCTATTTCTTCCAAAGCACTTACTTCCATGATGACTTAAAGGGACTAGTTAACTTAAACTTTGACCTTCCTGTAATATTTAAATAACCAGCCTCATAGCATCAGTATCTGTTTTGATTTGGCTAAATCTTGAAGTTAGCAAGTTAATACAGCCCCGGTTAGATGTTAAGCTGTTCCAACTAGTCATTCCAATATATTCTTATGTTTGTATGATTTATATGTTGGTTCAAGAAATATGCAAAATAAACATTTTTGCCCAAATAACTTTCTTTCAGCAAAATCTCTGCACACATAAAAGAAAAATGAACAGTAACCGTATATCTTTAAATACAGGGGATCCCAAAACTCATTAATATTTTATCTGTACTTTATTACATGTCAACAAAGCCCTAAGAGATCTACCTCAAAGTTGGAGTTAAATATTTCAACACAATTTTGTACAAAAAAAGCAAAGAGATGAGAATACTTTAGAAAACTATTTGCATTTCAAAAGATTTTTTTCTGTCGTAGTAATGAATAGACAAAATAATAAGGAAATAACATTCAGATATTATTTTGATTAAGGCAGAGTGAAGTACAGTGAAATGTTTCTATGTATTTTCATCAATAAGAAAAGAAAATATTTAGATTCCTGTCATGAAATCAAGACTAAAATCAATGCTTAATTCTTAAAACCTTGTATTAATAGTTAGGGGAACAGTGCATATTTTTCTCTCTACTGGGCAGAACAGGTTCTGACTTTCGGGCAACATCTTAGTTCAAAAGGGTGTAATAGGACACGGCAGATAGGAAAGGACCAAACTGTGAAGTAAACAAATGCACAGGTTTCCTCTTCAACCTGTTTTATTTTTAAATTTGTTTTATATTAAATATCTTGTCAGAGGGTTTACGAGTATAAGTTGTGCTCATTTTTAATCTTATATAATTGACTTCACACTTTTATTGTGTATGGAAACAACCAGCACTAGTGGTTTACCTGAAATGGTCCTCTGGGGCTGATGTCAAAGAAGGCTTTCCTCCAGTCTGAGCCCTGATGACCTGATTTTGTCCACACCACTGAGTCCACAGGTGCAATACTTCTCATTCTCAAAAGAACATTAAGCGTGCCTGTAAAAAAGTAACACATGTACAGTACAGTAAATTTGAAATTGTAAGACTGCAAGAAGCAAAATATTTTATCTAGAAAATTCAGCAAAAAAAAAAACAAGAAATTTGTCAGTAATAAAATCTATTTTCTCCAATGACATATAGAAAAGTAGAAACTTCACCCTGCCTATGTTTAAACTAAATTATATTTAGTTTTGATACAGTACATTAGATGTGGATTGGTGTTTATTTGGTGAGGCTTTCTGGCATTATGAGACTTGTACAAAAAACTCTGAAATGACAATACCATACAAACCCTCTACAGTAAATGGGTTAGACTTATTTCGGACATATCTACAGTATGAAGCAGGACATAGCACCTGAAAGAACGGATATTTTTGGAATAACTTAAGTATTTACTATATGTAGGTTTATTATCCCTTATTTTTCACAATTCAGTCAACTGGAGAGACTGAATTGTAATTAGGCATCAGGTCCAGGTCAATTGTTATTTAGACAGTCATGTTTTTTTTTATTTCTCAAGTGTATTCAACACAATTTCTGATTTGCTTTGTCAGAAACAGCAGAAGACACAGGTAAAGGCAACAGCAATTGCTTGGATCAAACACTACTTGACAAATAGAACATGGGTTGTAAAATTAAAGGGTCAACTGTGTGATCAGGTAGTCAGAAGCCCCGGACTACATACGATGGTAATATAACTATTCCTACATATTTACTCTGTACACTTCTGATTTTCAATACAAGACAGTTGAGTCATCTGCAGAAATACCTGGATGACTCTACAGTCACTGGGCGCATCAAAAATGGGCACGAACCTGAGCATATGGAATTGCTTACTTTGTCACATGGTGTGTAAACAACCTGAAGAAAAACTGGTTTTCGGAAGAACTAAAAATAAGTGAAATCCTGTTACAATTTGGGAGAATGAGATGAGGCGGAGGAGTTTAAGTTCCTTAGTGTTCACCTTAGACAGAATTTATTGTAATTTTGTCCACACAGAGTCTATACAAATGAGATTTTCTTCAGTGCAGCTCTCAAGACATTTCCAATTCTAAAGTGCAGCAGTGATAAATTGTAAACATGTTAAAAAAATGCAAAACATAAGACTGGCAATGATTTACAGTTTCCAACATTCATCGCTTTTTTTTACACCCCATTTTATACAACAATCCGCAGTCTAATGACACTTGGGAAGAAGCTGTTCTGGAGTCTGCTTGACCTGAATCGGATGCTGTAAAGCCTCTTCCCAGAGGGAAGCAGGGAGAAAAGTCCATGGTGGAAGTGTTAGGGGTCATTAATAATGTTACAGGCTCTGGACACCTGGGCAACAAACTCAACTGGAGAAGCAAGTTTGAGGTCATCTCCAAGAAGGTACACAGCGGACTGTACTTCTTCAGAAAGCTAAGTCCCTCCTGTTTTAGCAGCATATATTTTATCAGTCTGTTGTGGAAAGTGTGATCTCTTCTGCCATCATGCCTCTGTAAATTCTCAGTCTGGTGCAAACCAACAGAATTGACAAAGACTTCTGGATAGATGCTGAAACCTCTTCAAAGAAAATGAGCAAAAGTTTGGTTTCCTTCCATTTTAAACCTGCTTTGTGGTTCTTCTGTCCTCATGTGCTTGGTTAACAGCATCAGAGCAAATGACTAAAAAAGCTCAACAAGCTGATAAAGAAGGCCACCAAAGTTTGGGAATTCCTCTAGAATCCTTGAAGACCGATTCATAAAAAACATAAATTCTTCTTTAAAATTAAGGACATCATGGACAACAGTGGAGCATGCTCTTCAGAAGACTATTAAACAACAGCAGTGTCTTCAATCAAAGCCTTCTCCAGATCTGGTGCAAGCCAGACTGCTACAGAAGATCCTTCCTGTCTGAGCTATCAACATATACAACAACTTGTTACGACAACGTTTAATTTCCCTTTGGGATCAATAAAGTATTTTTGAATTAAATTAAATACACACTTCACTTTAATGTAATGCGTGAGTATAAGAAAAGAAAAAAAACAGCGTGAGAGCTATGAGAAGGGGGCTGTAATAGGCATGCTGCCTCTTGTCTCTATCTCATTCAGCTCTATGAGATGTAAGAGAATCGTTCATCTTCTTAACGATCTCCAGCCAGCCCCTAATTGGAGCATTAACCAACCACCAGTCTCCTAAACAAATGCACAAGCAGGGGGCATACGTGCTCTACATGTGGTAATAATGTGTGTGCATGCAGAAGAAGTATCTACCCATATGTTTTCATGTCTGAAAATTCCTTTTCTATTTAATGTACAGTATATAGAATTAAAAAACAATATTGTTTAAACATTGCAGAAATTGACAAGTTGAGATAAAGCACCTCTGCAAAAACTCTCAAATAACTGAACAACTCTTCTGAGTGAAAGAGTTTTATTAATGGGGTTAATCTGCTTATGATATGTCAATGATAACTTTTTTTTATGGGATTAAGAAGGAAGCTGTACTCAGAAGCTAAATTTAATCCGAAATAAAAATATGTGTTACTTAAAAGAATTACAACTTTTCCAGTTCAAAACTTCATCTTCCATATCAGAGCATCAACTTATTGATGTGTTTTGACACAGTCCGTCCCTCAGTTATCATCACATTACATGTGGTGAAATCTCCAGAATCGTGGTCTATTTTCCATGTTAATAAGAGGACAGCATTATTCTTCATGGGAGCTCAGAGCTGAAAACCAAGCACAGCCTTGCTGGTGCTGCCTGTTCATAAAACGGATGTTTTATGTTTTCAAGTCTCCGCCAATCAACTGACCAAGATAGCACCCAGGTTCCGTCCTGGGCTTAGACCAAAGACCACTGTAAGAATTCTGTTTGGTATATATAATTCCTGATGCTAATCTGATGGATATTCCATAAGTCAATAACACAGTTATTAACAAAGGTATAATCTTTTAACTGAAGATCATTATTTTCTTAGATCATTTGCATGGATTATTTTTGTTAACTGGTGTCCTTAAATCTACACAAGCCCAGATCTATCACACAAGGTAAAATCTATGTAGGCTATGCACAGAGTCCCTTGAAACAATTTAGCATCTCACACCAGGAAATGAGAGATTAGAAGGAAAGGATTTCATGCAACACCTGGTCATGTTTAGAATAAGTTGTGTGGAGTTTGAATTAGAGGCCCCTGGGTCAAAATGGAAGTCACTTCCTAAGGTGGTGGAGAATGAGAGAGCTAAGGTCCTGTAGGACTTCCTAATTCAAACAGACAAAATGGTAATAGTTAACCAACTGGACATTCTGACTGACAGAGAAGAGCTACTATGATCGATGCATCAAACCTTATTTCTGTAAACATAGGAGGAACAGCTCACCATCATGCTGGTAGTTAAAGCTCCAAAAAATCCTCTCAATCCTAAAGAGAAGATATATCTCCTATCCAGGTCCAACACTGCAAGAGCTTCCAGGATTAACAAATTGTATACTACCAGAAAGCGTATGGTCAAGAGGCAAACAAGGATCAATAACACAGGGACAGATGGCAACCCAACAGAGAGTAGGCTAAAAGCAAGAGAAGCCCGATACAATGTTCAAAATTTATCAAGGCAGATCTCACTTGTAAACAAGATCCTGTATAACAATAAAACCTATAAGTTGGAGTTGTTTATTTTGTACTTTAAAATACATGCAAAAACAATCTTTGCTCTGTTTTTCTCAATCACAATAAACCTTTCATTTCAGAGAGAAAGATTGCGTAAAAAGTCAGTGCCAGCTAATTTAACACTGCAAGTTCCTGGGACTGTGAATTCTTGAATGCAAATCTGATCATCAGTCAGATATTTTCCCCTGTGCCATTCCCAATTACTACACATAAATTAAATTCTGGACATCTATGGTTTGATTGAAAATTAATACTTTGACAGCCATGAGTAATTTTTATTAAATAAATTAACCATTTTTCATTCAATTAATTTTTGCATTTTTTAGTGTAGAAAATAATGTTCTTAAATTTTATTGAAATTCTAAAGATTCGTTCTCGGTCTTGGAACGTTTGGTTTTGCTCTCTTAAGGTCTGGTCCCTGTCTCAGAAACTGTTAGGCACATATACTCAGTTTATCAATGACTTCTGAAAGCAATAGTCTGTGCTGGATTTTATTAAAAACTAACAGGCTAATATTTGCTACAACAAAAACAACTAATAAAAACAGGGGTCATTGTTATTTCCTTTGTGTTGATAACTGACATAAAATCTCAAGAAAATTATTAATTTGTTTTTAAAGATATATAAATTGCATAACATCTCTCATGCTATTGAACATTATGAGTCACATAAGACAAAGCATAATACTTTATATAATATAACATAAATAGAGAGATCCAAATATATATCTATCTGCTCAACCTGGTCTTTGAGTCTACAGCTACATATCAAAGCCTCATTATCATTTCTATCTCTGCTTCCACTCAAACTTTGCCTATTCCAATTATCAATGCTTACACATAACTATACCTATAAGTTCACACACACCTTGCAGGATGCAGTGGACTATTAAAACAATCTATTGATTGGTCTAAGGTATAGCAGAGTGTGGTAGTGAAAGTTTCAGAGGGGCACAGCTCTATCAGACCCACTTGTCTACACTATTATCAGAGAACAAGGTATAAAAGATGTGCAACCTCACAAACATGCATTCACTGGTGATCTTTAAGTCGAATGATTTTTTCAATTTCGATTACACAAAGTCTACATCCATTGCAATGTGGATACCTACAAAACACAAATTGTTGATAAAAAGGTACACAGAATCTATTGATACATTTATCAAAGCATTTGATCCAAATGAAAATAAAATGCATTCTATAAACTTCAGTCCCCTGTTTAAAATAATCCAAGAAATTTTAAACTTGTCATGCTGCATTCAGCCCTTCTAAACACCTACCCAGTGGCAAACAAAAACTAATTAAATATTGTTTATTGTTGCTGACAGTGAGCCCAAAGAGAAGAAACACATTATGTGTGATTCTGCACTATAACTGACGGAGAAAAAATATACTCTCTCCTCTCCTCTTCTTATAGCTAAAAACATGTCTCGATTTTCATACAGAATAGAACTTGACATTTACACAACAACGCCCAAAATGCTACTTTGCCAAATAGCCTACCGGTAAGTATTTAGAACATGAGAAATATTTTTAACACATAACATTTAATGTAAATGATAAGGTGCTATGTTAATTTAAAAAAAGCAAGGATGCTTGATGGCAGCATGTTTTTGCAGGTCCCAGCTGTCAATAGTTTTGTGTGCTTTTGTTCAAGTTTTTTTTTTTTTTGTTTAAGTTGTTTGTACTTGTAAATAAGATTTAACCTGACTGGTTTGTGGACAACGTTTTTAATTTATTGTTAGAGACCATGTGAGCAGGCAAGTTCCTGTTGTTTACATCAGGGTTCACTTTTTAGCTCTTAGTAGCAGCTGTTAGCACAAGGTTGAATGATATACGGAGGGGGTTCATTTATATTTTTGGTACAACAATGTATGCCAATAGTGCATGCCCCACTCTCTGACCAGAAGACTCAAATTCTACAGTATCATCCCCAGATTCTGAGTGGCAAAGACAAAACCTAAAAGGCCATGTATAAACCCTTATATAAAGACTTTCCTGAAGGAGAAGCATAGAGCATTTATATCAATACTAAGGAGAAGCTTAGAGTTTGGGGGGGCTATAGGGGAGTGGTGGCATATTGGTTAGGGTACTGCGCTTGGATCCTAGAGGTTCACAATTCAAGCCTCACTCCCACAGACTGCCAATCTGGGACCCTGAGCAGGACCCTTAACCCCCACATTGCTCCCGGGGCTCCGCCCAATAGCAGCCCACTGTTACCCAAAGGGATTGGTTAAATGCAGAGAGTGAATTTGGTTTCTTTCTACTTGTGACAATGTAATGACAAAAAAGTTGAATTGTCTATTCAAGCTTGGCTGAAGAAACAGAAAAAAAAATTGAGAAAGGAAAAACTATCCAAAGAAGGAAGATGGAGGACCAACTACAGATAAACAACATTGGTGTGATTTCAATGGTCCTCATACTTTCTGAAATAAAAAAATCAAACAGTTTGGATTGCATGTATAATATGAACAGTTGGTCCTCATGCAAGAAGTGTTCATATGAACAAATTATTTCTTAAGTCATTTGGATGTGTGATTTAGGAGGAAATATCACATTCACCATTTTCCCCCTATATCTAATATTCTCTTCTTGGGTATGAAGAAATTTTACTAGTACTCCTGATTTGGCGAAGGGGTCTTGTGCAATAAGTCAGCTTTAATTCAAAGATGTTTTTTTTGCACTAAATTGTCACTCTATAACAATTACGTAACAACACAACAATAGGCCCGTAAGCAACATTATCTGGTTTGGCCCAACATGAAATACAACACCCCATCAATCCTGCCCTAATCAATCCCCATATGGCTTCTGGAGATGTACAGCACATATGTGAGTTAGTATTGAAATGAGAGTTGCAGATAGCTGTGTTGGGTTGGTGATGGCAAACTCTTTAAGCAATTACGTCATAAGTTCCACCTCATGCCTCAACAAGTAGTTTTAAATACCGTTTTTTTTTTTTACAAAGTATTTTATTATTGTTGTTTTATTTTCACTTCTATAAAAGTCAAACCTTGTCATTTATAGCTCTAGTAATTTATTCCACACTGCTTGCCTCTTACTGGTCCTTTAATTCTGCTTCTCAGCAGAGTTTTTTTCCCTTCATTTTCAATGCCATTTCTGTGATTGAACACCTGACGATCTTAGGAGGTTGTGCAGTTATACGGCCTTACTGAGGTGGCAAATTTACATTTCTCGGGAATGCAAGCTCACTTAAACACAGGTGGACTGCATCAAGTTTATAAGGATCAAGTTAAGAACGTTGTTAAATCTGATGTGTTGTCTTTGTAAGAGCCCCAAGTACCAGAGATTTACGACTAGAATACAAAATTGTTGCTGCATAAGGCCCAATGACTTAAAAAGTTTTGATCAGACACTCATCATTCAAATGAATAACACTGTCTCCTTAATTAAAAAGTTAGCTTTGCCATGGAGAAACTAAAAATTTACAAAAATAGAGAGAATAAGGACTATAATCTCTCTAAAAGGTAATGCTATTTTATATTTAAACATGTAAGGTAATCAGAAAGAAAATTGTTTGATATAGAGCATGAAAGTCTATTAAATCTATACATCTTATTAAAATGCTATAGTGAGAACACAAGAATTAACTGTTAAAATTAATCCACAATAACACACAATCAGACAATTCAGCAATGTATAAAAAGAAAGGGAAGCAATAGAAAGGGAAGCAATTCTCTCCACATGATGGAGAATTGTTTTCTATGCTAACCAGGCTACTGAGACTGCCCTTATTAAGGTGTTCAGTAGCATCAGTATAAATTCAGACTGTGGAAGAACCACAGTGGTGGTACTGTTTTATTATACATTTCATCGCTTGATTTTATAAGTGTCTGTAAAACTAGGTGGGCCTTTCTGGTACAGGAGTTCCTATGTGTCACTTATGAGGAAAAATAGCCCAGAACACTGTAAGAATGCTGAAAGCCTGAGTTCTTTTAATTCAAAGTTTGTTTAAAACTTGATTTTACTTGTAAATTGAAATAGTTCATTAGTTTAAGTTTTTGGTTCAATTGTTTTTTTTGCTTTACTACCTACTTTATAATGCCTTTATCCAGACATGGGCAATGTGGAGTCAACAAGTCATCTCCATGTCATGTATTGGTTCTACCCAGCCAATTAACCAGGTGAGTCCAATCTGCACAGGTTAATTCACGGTGAAGATTGGACTCACCTGCTTCAGTGGCTGGGTAGAACCAATACATGACATGGAGATGACTTGTTGACTCCACATTGCCCATGTCTGCTTTTATCTTTACTTGCTTTTATTCTGCTTTCATGTTCTTTCTATCTTATTGTTTAATTAATGTAAAGTGCTTTGAACTGTCTTTATATGTATTGGTACTATCTAAATAAACTTGCCTTGCATTGCCTTGAATGTGTAAGCACTCACCAATGTGTTTTCCCTTCATGTGATAGTAGAAAGAGACACAGTATGGGACTCGACTAGAGCCCTTCGGGCCCCTGACTGAAGACACATTAAAAAGTGGAGATAGAAGACGGGCCTTGTCCCCTTGAGCACGAGGTCGGGATGCTTCGATGTACATGTAATACCCTGAGATCAACAAGGAAACAGAAACAATAAAAACCTGTTAAGAGGTTATTCAAAAATAAGGAAAATTAATACATTTTAAATAACATAATTAGACATAAAAAGCCATTACTGGTTGCGCTGCATATTGTATTTGCTCTGAGAATAGACTTTTCTTATTTTTCTACCAGCATTCTGTATTTTGTGGTGTATTTAGATTAACATACCAAGGACTGGTAGAGGCTACAGCTGACTGGGGCTCTACAACAACTGGTTCCTTATTATTACAATGACTCATGACTCTGACTTAAAAATTATTTCCCAATTATCTTACCCTCCTTTGTTCCACTGCGGTCAGTCTCCGGGCCAGTATTAGGAGATCGCTTGGGATTGTGCGTCAGATTATTCTGTCTTGTCCAATCAAATTTATCACTCCGGTCTTGAGAGAAACCACAGATCCGCTCATCCTCGAACCCACACACTTGGTCTGAGATGTGTGCGCACATGAAAAGAAGAATTTAAAGAGAAAGAAAAAAATAAGAAAAAGATTTTATTGAAAAAATATAATGTAGATAAATAACATAAGATCCACATGATGGTTAATATATAAAATGTTCTTTTCAATGTTCACCTTAGAGTAAACAGACCTGTAGTAACAAAATGACAAACAGAATGTGGGGGAGAGGATATATGTATTACAGAAAGTAACATGGACTTGTTTTAACCATGTTCTTCAGCAGGGATTTCTATATATTTCACCCTGTGACCCACAAAAAATATGTATAGCTTCTACAATGTCTGTTCACTTGTAAATATAAAAATAAATTATGTTTATTTTTATATAAAATTTATTTTAAATTAAATGAAATTGTATTTTTAACTATTTAAGTGGATGATTAAATATTTAATTATGTATTTCCAAAATTAGAATTAAATTTAATATTTGTCTCATGTATTAGATATAACTGAAATAAACATATATGCATTTAATGGTAATACATTTATTTCATGAGAAATTAAATTTTTTTATTATTTTAAAATATAAGCTCTACTCCACTACAGTCAAAGATGACATTACAATAACTGTAAAGATGATCTAATGACCCCCACTTTGGGAACCCCTGTATTTCCCAAAAGGAGAGATTTAAGATTTTTATCAATAAGTTTAGTCCAAAAATATATTATTCATAATGTAATAACTTGTTTATGTGATACATTTTTTGAAACCAAAAAATCAAAGTGGAAGTTTATTATGACTCACTGGCTCATGCCACCTGCTTCACATTTGACCTATGGTAATTTTTGGGGAAAGCAGAAACCAATCAATACAAATAGCCATTTTTAAAACAGATTATTTTTGGCTAAAACAATTATTTTTATATTCTGCGTATTTGACAACAACTAATACTTTATATTCTTTATATATATGTTTTTGCTGAAGTTACAAGCAAAAGCAAAATGTCTTTTTAGAATATTTAAACTGGATGTTTAGACTTTTCAAATGTAAACTATAATGTCATAGATATGGGCAGGTGCTGTGATCACATTTTTCCTTTCTGTGTATTCTTTTGGGATCTTTGGATTCACTTCCTTGTCTTCAGATTTACTAATGCTGATGTCTCTTGTTAAGCAAGATAAAGCAGCTTCTCTCAACAGTGTTGTCACCTTCATTAGCCCATCTGGTGGGTTTTGCCATTATCAAAGACTCACTAGACAAGAGAGAATAACAACAGCCATCTAAAACCATCCAAGCTGACAGCCTCAGTAAGAGCATCCCAGAGACACACACATGCCAGCCTCACACACACAGACATACAGTCTGATAAAGATGCTTATGGCTCACTCTCCCCAAGAGGACTGTTTGTGTGCTCTCTTTTGTTTCAGGGAGCTAATCTATTACTATTCACACCCTTCTCTACTTCATGCACTGTTTTCAATTTACACTGTTGTTCCCGCAGTCTGTTCCAATCTGCTGTTGTTTTAATTGCTTCACCCTGGCATAGCCAAACGGCACTCCTGCCAGGAAAATGCTACGCTTCTCTTAATGAACAAAACACTGAAGACTTGACTGACTCAGATCAACGGGGATGGGAAGCGAGAGCATGAGATGCAGGGAAATATTAGATACCAATAGATACAGAAAAATATAAGCTTAAATACATAGTTGGATTAGTGTGACAGAATTGACACAACTTTTAATATTGGTGACCTCCCTGGTATACAAAGCTTGTACTGTAGATTTGCTCTCATATCTTCATTATTTCTTTATTTATTTAAATTTTAAACCACCCATTGTCCATACCTTAAGATTTAAATGTAAGACAGATCATATTTCCCCTCCATCAGATGAATCTCATATAAGCCATTAAATAGATTTATAACAGGTAAAATTATGCATTTAAAGCATCTATTACTTGAAATGTTAGAAATTACAGTAATTGAACAATTAAATAGCTTTTAAAAGTAATACAATGGACATAAAACCATTTAAAATGTGTTTTTAAATAATAAAAGTTTACAATTTATTAAAAAAACATGCATTTAATACTTAGATGAGATGATAGTGATGATCAGACAGTGGCTGGCATGTTAAGGAAACCTAAATTGGTTTAACAGCGGTTTTCAGCTACATTGTTGGTGTATATATAAATATATATATATTTTTTTTTTTGTTAAGAAAAGTTTCTATATGGAATTCCCATCTAAATAGTTTGCTGTTGCCAGGTGCCAAGTCCTACTGGAACATTAAATCACCATCTTTATAAAGCTTGTCAGCAGTGACAAGAATGAAGTGTTCTAAAATCTCAAAGCAGATGGCCATGTTGACTTTGGTCTTGATAAAACGGAGCTAAACAACAACGTATGACATATGGCTCCCTAAAGACCCACTGACTGTTGAACCTTTACACACCACTTCAAGCAACTTGGACTCTGTGCTTCTTCACTTTTTTACAGATTTTAAAAAATGGCAATAGAAATGCAAAATGTACAGTATATGTATCTGAAAATACAACATCACTAGAAAATGTGAAGCTGAACATTGCTGATGATGATAGAAAGGGCATATTCATGAGAATAGAGGTGGAGGAAAGAAGCCGATTGATGGAGGTAGCTGATATGTGAGGAGGGAGGAGGTGGGTTGCAGCGTGATTTGAAGGCAGACAGGACTACAATGAAGTGCATAAAAGGGAGAGTCTTGGATAATATGGGCTGCAGAGAAGAAGGAGAGTAGAAGAAGGCGGGCAGAGGTGGATCTGGATGACATTGCAGTAATTTTTGTCAGTCTTCCAGATTGAAAATACACCTAGGCTCCATTTCTCTTCAGTGCAGGTAAAATGTCTCTAATTCGGTTTCTGCATTAGAGCCACCTCTTAGCGGAGATAGCTGGACTGTTTAATCTCATGGTCTGAATATGTCTTTGTTGTGTCTCAAGTGGCGACTGTCAATGAGCTTTGCCTCTAAATCACCACGGTTTTCCAGTTTTTTCTAAAACACACTTCACTAACATTTTATTTCTTATGAATACAAGTAAATTCAGAAGTCTTGATTTTTATCAATGATCTTTGGCTTTCCTGCTCTATGGAAGATGACAACCAACCCCCAGTGGAAAACACTACACTAATTATATGGCCATAATTTTCTCAAAGGATGAGATTTGCATATCAATATTAACTTATTTGATATAAAAAAAAAATAAATAAATAAAAATAGTATTTACAATGACTGTAAGCAACACGTATCCAATTTAACCAAAATTTACTTTTTGTGTGTAATTTCTATATAATACACAAGTTTTCCTTTTTAAATTAAACAAAAATGTATGCCCATTTTAAAATATTTTTAATGGTATTCTAATTTACTGAGATAAACGTATATGTATATTCATTTCAAAAGAACATTCTCATTAATCGATGTATTGACAACAGGTTTGTGGAAACAGCATCTATTTAATATGGTTTCATGCTACCAAATTCGGCACCATGATTACTCTATCTGCCAATCCCAAGTCATTTGAGTGTTGAATCCACTTTCAACCTACATTGCTTTAAAGAAATATGATGTTGATGGACAAGCAGGGTGTTTAATGCTAAGCTTAAAAATTGAGGAAAAGTTTTTTCCTCACAAATACACAAAATAGTTTAAAATAGTAAAATGCGGGAAAGGAGAAAATGGTTGGTTGGTCTTACCCGAAGATCTTGGATAAGTGTAGGCTGCAAGAAAATAGCAATTCCATAATTATTTTGATAAACACTGATTTCTTTTTTCCTTACAAAAAAAAGGATGAGACAGTGACTTACGTTCTGAGTACAGAATGATCCTGCTGACATAGTCCCCTGTGCTGTAAGTTGTGATGGGAGCCAGTCGAACCTCATAGGATCGAGGGATTTCCAGGTCTGTTACCGTGTGAGACATCAGCACACCCTTCTCTGGCTCCTTACCCCTTAGGTCTATTTGCTTTGACACCAAGCTCTGCTTGTCCTGTGCAGGTGAAATCCAAAGCAATTTGCAAATATTAGGAGAAGCCACAGGGACATGAAAAGTACCACTCACACTGCATTCAGCTTGCACTGGCATTAAATCAACGACATAAAAAAAGGGTAGTAAAAAGTGATGTTCATTCAAAAATAATACGTTCCCAATAGTCATCATATTTAGGCTTCAATCGTCTCTAAATCATTTAATTTAAAGTTCCCCCAGCACAGCTGTTGCAGTTAATTTTGAGGAAAGAGGTTAAAAAAATCTAACAAAAAGAAACACTGTCCAGATTTTCCTGTGTCTAAGTATTGCTTAGTCGACATGAGTATAAAGTTAGCACCTCTGGGCATTCTTCCAGACAACATACCCTACTCTTGGGCCCAGATAGTCTTGTGTTCCATTAAATCCCACTTTTTATCCAAAACAAATCTGTCCTGCTTTGCTCATTAAAAGCTTTGGAGGCCACCACACGCAACATTACTTCCAAGCTCTCTCTCTCTTTATGCTCTAAAAAATACATGTTGGTCCAGTTGTAGAGCACTCAGCAAGATAAGTGATTTCCCATAATGATGCCGTGACGAGTACCCAATAGCCATTAGTTGTAAAACAGAAATCAAACATTTTCTCTTAACCATCTCTGTTCAGTCTGATATACTGTTCAGCAAGAACTGTAATGTATAACACAATCCCATGGCCTCCCACATAAACAGCAATTGATTAATTAAACATGGCTTGGATCATAACAATGAAAATGTAAAATGATTACAAGTCCAGCTGTTGTCTAATTTTTTTTTAAGTTAAAATGCGTTTTTTGTTGTTTTTTTTTGTCTCCATCACATTTTAAAAAGAGCTATGTCTATGTTATTCCACCCACAGATAGAAGGATCCATTAGCTGTGTATCTGCCTCTGATCCCAGCTACTTAAAGACCTGACAGTGAACTCAATCTAATGCATTAGGTCAGCCACTTCACCATAACAACTTGGTACACCCACAGCATGCCATTATCAGGTAACACATGAAGAAGAGTTGTGTGTGAGAAGATGTGTGATATTGTGTAAATGGTAAATGTGTAGTGTATCTACCCAGGTTCCATGCTTAGCTAACTGTCTGGACCTCCATATTTGTTAGATTTTCAAATGATCAACTGAATGAATTGTTATACCTCTTTATGTATTGCTTTCATTTAAATGTATGCATAAAAATGTATTAAATAGATAATATATACACTTAATTATTGAATATGCTAACCCAGAAAGTGTTTTTAGCTCAGGAGCAAAAGGCTTGGCTTCACTTTACAACAAACAAGAAAAACAATAAAGCAAACATAAAACTGAGACCAACTGGATGCAAAAGGATATTTCAAATCTTTTTTTTCTGTAAGTTAGAGACTGATTGAAAAAAAAACGAAAAAAAACCCAGCATTTTGGTAAAGCAGGATGAGGTGAGGAGACTTTCACTGCAAATACTTCTTAGCACTTTACCAACTTAATACTTGAGCGAATACTAAAATTGCTTGAGGACATACAATCCACTGACAAAATAAAGTTTTGACAGCATTTTCCTGAGTCGAAGCTTTTCCTTTGCTGGTCAGAATTTAAATGACCTTATATGGAGCTAAATACTCTCAATCAGAGAAGAAAGCACATTGGAGGATGATCCATTTTATTTTTTTATTTATTTATTTTTGCCTTTGCTACAACCTGTCTAAAAAGTTGTGTTTTGCTTCTGAACTACTGAAGATAAGTTAATTAGATGTGCCTCACATTTGCTATCGTATGATTATGAAACATTGAATGTATGGCCCCGGATAAGACTAATTAGCTGAAGTGAAATAGTATTTAATAGTATTCATAACAACATGAATTAGTAAATTCATGTTGTTATGCCGTCTGTTAAAAGCTTAAAATATATTAATTTTAATCACCTTTACTTATTTTCTTTACCTTAGACGTGTTCTTTTTCAATTGCAAATCTGATTTAAAACCTGTTAATGTATCTTATTCTAAACGTTTCATAACATTAATTTTTATCTACTTTTTACATTAAATAATCTGGTTACGTATGATTGCAAAATGCAGCAAAGCAGTTACTTCTAATGGAAAACTGAAGGAGAAGACATGAAAAGTGGGAAGCTTTAATAAGATGGTCATGAATATAACTGTTCTTTTTTCTTAGTTTTAAGTTAAATTTGAAAGTGAAACTGTTAATTTGCTGGATTCCGTTTCCCAAATCAGTAATAACATAAAATGTGGATGATTTTTTTTATTGGCAGGTTTTTTTAGAAGCCCAACTAGTTCTGAATAATAAAGAAAAATATTACAGGTATCTTACTATTTACAACTCTGTATATGATGACATCACCTCTCAGCTTTACCTCTTGTCCTCTGGCAGACAGTTGGAGGACTTTCCATTTTCATTGTGTGCCTATAAAACTACACAAATTCAAACTTATCCTGGCAGAGCTGATCATTTTTATTGACAAGACCACAGTGAGTCATGCCCTGACTGCCAGGCATTTGGTTCTCTTGCTCCAATTACTGTTTGAGCCTCCCATGGCAGCCACAGCCCCAAGTCCTCCAAGTGTGCAGTTGGCAACAGGTTTTGAATTAAATCCTTTCCTAACTAGGCTCTATGCCGCTAGCTGTTCTATCCGTTCATTCTTGGGTTGTTGTTGTTTTTTTTCCACAGCCGTTCTGGCTGGTTCCTTTTCAGTTGATCCAACTTTTCACACTGTGTTCCTAGTCAGTAAGGATTTCCATCTCTGAATTCCTGACACAAAAAAAAGAAAAACTAAATGATTTTTTTTTTCCAAATTTAATTAAAACATTGCTACTACCAGTTTCCCAGTGGGGATGATATGACCAGAGTTAATGTGCGCTGGTAGTTGTCATCTACATATACTCTTTTAAATAATGAAAAAAAAAACAACTTTTTTCTCCTTGTCTCATCTAGCCACAGCTAATTTTACAGATTTTGCTGTGCCCCCTACAACTTTTTTTTTTTTTTTTTTTTTTTTTTTTACATTTTTTTAGGCCTGTAATTTTAGCTAAAGTATCATTTCCTTTTTTTTTTACATTGTTTAATGAGATGTTTATTGCCTTTAACTTTACTGCAACCTAATTTCTGACCAGCTATGCTTCATTGTCTCCATAATGCTCTTTGTTTTCTTATGTTTTCTAGCAAAGTTTTGAGACCATCACACAGAGCACAGTATGACCTAAAAGTCTTGATCTTTAATTCTGTGTTGCACCAGTTTTTAAGAGAACTCTATCTTTAGCATACTGTTCTTTGTTAAAAAAAAAATAAAGGCAGCATATTTCCAACAATACACTAAACCTTGTTTGCCAACGATATATTTTTTCTTTGAATCCAAAGTAGTATAAAGATTACAAAAACATTTTTTAACATCTTAATGAAATATGGAGTATGCAAGCATCTACTGACCAGTTTCCAATAATCAGTAACGTAATCAATCGTGAGATTGATATAAGGCTCCGTTGTGCGTCTCCACCACAAGTCTCTAGTAGCGTCATAGTATTTCTCTCAAAACTGGTGATACAGTTTCAGCATTTTTTCTTATCAAAATACTTCTGGCTTGGAGGCTTATAACATATATCAAGATTTTTAAATATTTCTTTAAACCAGCTTCTCTCCACTCTGTGTACTCTGTGTCTCTGTGTACTTTGTGATGGCTCTTGTCACTCCATCGCTTATTCTTTTAAGAGGTCTGTTGTTACAAATGTTGAAACAATTTCCTTGTTCTACCTTTGTTTGCCCTCACCATTATTCAACATATATTGCAAAATGTTGTTTTTGGTTTATGGCTACATTGTGGTTCAGTGGGTAGAACTGCTGCCTTGCAGCAAGAAGGTTCTGGGTTTGATTCCCCACCCCAGGGTCTTTCTGCATGGAGTTTGCATGTTCTCCCCATGCATGTGTGGGTTCTCTCCGGGTACTGCGGCTTCCTTCCACAGTCCAAAAACATGACTGTTAGGTACAGTGGCTTAGGTGGCATAGGTGTGAGTGTGTGTTTGCATGGTTGTGTGTCTCTGTGTTTCCCTGCGACAGACTTGTGACCTGTCCAGGCTGTACCCAGCCTCTTGCCCATAGAGTGGCAGAGATAGGCACTGGCCCCACTAGGAACCTGACAGGGACTAAGTGGGAGAAAATGGTTGGAAATGGGTGGATGTTTTCGGTTTAACACTTGACCTTTGAAATCTGAACCAAACCAAGGGTTTGTTTTTCAATCCCCTCCTGTGTCTTTGCCTGGAGGAGATGCCCATGTTTAGGCAGGTGTGATGACATAAACACTGATAGGGTGGTAGAGAGGAAATCTTTACCTTAGGCCAAATTCATATCATTTCTACCGTCTATCACATGTGCCACACAGACAAAAAATATTACACACACAGAAAGAAGTTTGTGGCAGTATATTTTATCTAAAGTGCTTAGAACATCCATTTTCATGAGACTGATATGTACCCAAATTTAGTGCTAACATTAATAAATCCTAGCACAGGCACGAGCTGCAGCTTTAACTAAAGCAACTTTCTCAGTGTATAAAAAAACGTAATGGTATCAAGTAAATGTCTTATAATAAAGAGCTGACACCAGTTGAGATTCCCAGAAAAATGATGCACTTAAGCAACTCAGACACATATAGGATCATCAAGCCTCACATAATTGGTCAGCTCACATTGCAGTACATTATGTCTAGTTCCACTGATGTAATTTAAATTCTCCTTTAGCCATTGTCTCAGGTGATACATTGCTCTACAGAGTATGAAAAGTAACAGCCAAACTTTCAAAATGCTCTGCAAAGGTCTTACTTGCTAAACAGTAGCCTACAGAAGAGTGTGGTTGTTTACAATTTAAAAACAGCTTGAGCTTTATGTAATAGTCTACCTGCCTCCCCACCTGTGCTTAGTGGCCCTTTTGCCTGCACCTGTGTGTTTTATCTGTAAATTACCCTGCCCATATTTAGGTTCAAAGCTTTTCCAA